TTTTGTTTGGTGGGGTTTTTTCTTCCTTTTTAGGTTCAGTGTTCTTACTCTTTGCTGTCGGGGAATATGTGTAGTTGAATTACAGGAGCGAGCTCATCCTCATTCCCCTTCCATGATTTGAAGTCTTATGGAATTTGGAATGAGAGCTCTTGCAGGAAGAATTCATCTGGGGGTGGTAAAGAACTGAAGGAAAGTTAGAATGGGTTCTGCCATTGTGGCAGTTAAAGCCAGTGGCTGTTTACATTGAAGTCCAGCTTTTTGTCTGCTTCACTGTCTTTGTTCCAGCTCTGCATTGCTCTTTGCCATATTTTTCCATAGATGTATTATTTTCATTCATCTGTCTGCTTCCTAGACTGGTCCTGACCACAGCTACACTAAGGAGAAGATCAAGATTGTGGAGGGGATATGCCTTTTATCCAGTGATGATTCCGAGTGGGATGACCTTAAGCAGATTCGGAGCTCTCGAGGAGGGATCCTCCGGGACCACGTCTGTATGAAGACAGACACGGTCTCTATCCAGGCTAGTTCTGGTTCACTGGATGACACCGAAACTGAGCAGCTGCTACAGGAAGAACAGTCTGAATGCAGCAGTGTGAACACAGCAGCAGCCACTCCTGAACGGCGTGGCTCACTCCCAGACACAGGCTGGAAACACCAACGCAAGCCCTCCACGGAGAGTGAGGTCTAAAGTGCAAGTGACTTGGAAATCGCTCTGACCCTCCCTACCCTCCGCTCTGCACAAAAAAGACAGGACTCTGCCTGCTAGGCAAGGAAGGGCACAGAGACCAGCCTCTCTCACAACGGGCCCTGAGACTGTGACTGCCTTTCAGCAAGGAGCTTGGGCAGCTGTGCTGTTGTGGTTGGAGAGGGAGGATGGGTGGGTTGGAACCCAGAGACCCTTTTGACTCATTTTCACTGTCTGTGGTTTATTTATATGTTCCCTTTTCCTGGAAGCTGCCACGTTAACTTTTGCAGTGACTCCCCTGGCCTGAATCTGGTTCAGAGTTCGTGTTCCCTGGCAACCTGCAAGTCCTGTGCCATCCAGCTCACGGTCAATGCCCATGAAGAGAGCAGAGCTGCCTCATTGCTGGCTCCTGGTCACAAAAGTATCCCTAGTCATTCCAGCACTAGCAGCACTCTTTGAGGCTTGGTGTTGAGGGGTCTCTGACTTGAGAGAGGTCTTGGTATAGATGGGGTATACTTTGGGGCTCAAGAGGACACTGACACAGCATCAGGTCACCTTTTAAAAGGCATAAAGAGGGTCACCACAGTTGCCATGAATCACTTCGTGAGAGCATCACTGCTTACGTTTTCATGTGCTACTAAAAACTTTAAGGAATGCTCAGATTGGAGCACTGTGTCTGTTGCTGGCAGTGGACACTGCTCCCGTTCTCCCCTTTCCTGTTAAAACATGTTTCTACTCTGGAAAAACAAGAGTCAGCAAATGGCCCTTTCAGAACTGTTCCCTGTGGGTACTGGAGTCTGAGTGCTGAACTTGAGGGAAGAAGAGGTTGGTATTTCTCTTAGCTCTACAGAGGTAATGGGAGGGATTGGATCTCAGCAAGACTTAAATTCTACTTGACTTAGCATAACTGATATGTAAAAAATGAAAATCTGATGGGTCCCCACTAGTCCCAATTCTGCAAGGTCCCAATTATCTTGGCCTTTAGGACCTTTGACTACCATAATAAGGGACAAGAGAATTCCTAGGTTGAGTCTTTCCCAGGGGAATGCTCAGTGCTGATAGTTAGGAACTGCTTTATTACTAGGCTGAGCCCATTTGACCTAGAATGGGAGACAATAATCAGGGAGCTGCAAGGGCCATTTTAACTAGTTGTTTATCAGATAGAATTGCACTTTAAATTCTTCTGTTACCACTAAATAGCTCTCCTTGCCAAGTAATTTTTCCCATCAGCTGCATGAGCTTCAGTTGTTCTCTGGCCTTCATGGCCTTTATCCTCTAGGGAATGTCATCCTATCCTTGCAGCTACAGCCCAGCAGCATTTGGAGCTGAGGCTTGCATGCTCCCAAGGACTATTGCCACCTTTTCATATTTTCTTGTCATCTGTTTGTTGAGAAGGAAAAAAGATAGAGAAAATATCTCTTGACAATTCTTCAAAAATGAGATTTATATTAACCCCTCAAGTCACATGGATACCATCATGGTAAAATATTAAGCGTTAAGCCAGGTACTTGGAAGCAGAACTTTCCAGTGAAGAATTTCTCACTGCAAACTCTGTAACCTCTTTATCGCCTAGAAAGAGGTCAAGTACATTCCCACCCATGGTGTAAAGAGAGCAAAACATACACTAGGGGTATAGTTTAGAGGTAGAGGGAGGGTGCATCTCCCATGCGATATTTTTCCAGCTGGTGAAAAAAAAAGGAAAATCATCCTATGCTGCTCTAACCTTGTTTATAAACTAACAGGCCGGCTACCCCTGAAAAACACAACAGGTGCCAGTGGGTTGGCTGTACTTTTCACAGCAGAGGTAGCCTTGCAGAAAGGGGAAGGTTGCGGCTTCAGCCTGGCTAGGTGGCTTGAAATTCTGTCCATAACTGCACCATTGGGCTGACTGGTGTATATTCCTGTGGAAAATGAACTGGAGCTAAGGCTTGGAAATTTCCCTGTGTTAATGTGGGATTCTTCCCTATTCCCAGAGGGATTTATTTTTATTTTTTTTAATTAGATTTTTATTTAATTATTTATTTGATTGACTCCAGCCTGGGAAGCATTGATTTTGTTGGGCAGAGGCACTTTTGGATTGAGGTATGGACTCGACTGGGAACTGAGAGAGGAGTGTGTATCACGGACCTTGCCCGTCTAAGCCGCCTTATGCAGGGACACCACCAGAGGGCTCAAGTGTAGGCAGAAGAATCGATTTGAAAAGAAATCATGTGTAGGGGTGGGGGCATCAGGGCTGGGAGTGAGGGGATTGAGGAGGAAGGCTCTGACTTGTAGGAGAGCAGGGTTTCTTTGAGTTTTGGAATGAGTTGTTTGGGGGTTTTTTTTGCCCCAATAGCTTTAGTGAGCATGCACCAAAATCATGAGGTGGGACAGGGGTGAAGGGAAACATCTGCCCAGACCTGTCACTTGAGGTTCAGTCAGCCTGTTAAAATAATCGTTGTCTGAGTCACAAGTGTGGAATGGAAAGGGAAAACGCAGTTAGTCTTTTCAACAACTCATGGTGCTTGTAATCTCCACCTTAATCAATATTCTCTGCTGCTTCTTAGGAGGGACCCTGCACACTCCAGCCTAACAACCATTCATAACTGCTCTCTGCTCCCTTCCTCAAATGATTATGGTGAAAAGGAGCAACAAGATGTCGCACAGCCTGTCCTCTATCAGCGAAGTGGGCAGAAATTAGTGTCTTTTTCCTAGAGACAGCCCCAGTGAGATGCTGTCTAGGGGTTGCATCATGGTTTCCTGTTCTGGGGAAGAGAAGACCCTCGTTGCACTTAGGATGTAAAGAATGTAGAAAGGCTACTGGAGGATGATCTCTTGAGCACTGATTTACTATGTAAAAAGCAAACCTCTCTCCTGTCTGTCCTGAGCTAACGTCAGTGATTTCCGTGTGTTCCTGTGTAATGGTTTTAACGTTACTCACTGGAGACATTGGACTTTCTGGAGTTATTTAACCACTGTGTTCAGTATTTTAGGGGTTGATGATAATTTAATATAAATTTAGCTTTTCTTAACCACTCTGCCTGGCTTTTGGTTGTGAATCATGCATGTTATTTGGACTCTCCTTTGAAAGAGGAGCTCCCAGACCTGTTTGCACAGAACCTCAATTTTGCTTCATTTGAGAGGAGCAAGAAGGTAGAAACAGATCTGTGTTCTTAGAATAATCTGATTGTAGCACACACTGTACCCCTGTGACTTTGAATATCTGCAGTCGCTTTTGCAAATTCCTGCACACACATAATACCTCTCACTCTGCCCCCGCCTTGCTTTTTTTTCTTTTTTTTTTCCCCCTTTCCCCCCCCATTTTAACACAGCAACAGCAGAAGAGGATGTTCTTTTTGGAATGTATTAGGACTGTAGAGAGGTATCAAGGCTCTGCCCAGTGGAAAATAAAGCTCTGAAGAAGAGCTGTTTTTTCTGTCTGTAAGGGGTTTTGTTCAAGCTTCTGTTGCATTTTTTTGTAACCAAGAGTTTCAATAGTGCAAAAGGCTGAGTAATGAATGAAACATCCACTAATACCTGACACTGCAGTACTGATGCTAATCTTGTAACACATTCTGTCCCTTTTTGATGAAAGAAGTACCTAAAACATTTAAAACATTTTAGCTCTATTCCTGCTCATTTCACAGGTGAAGCACAGCGCAGAAGTGATTTCAGTCAGGTCATGCAAAAATATAATCACCTCACTTTTTAAAAAATTGATGGTGCTTACACAGCGTGGCGGGGGGGGAGAAGGTACTGTAAGATTAACTGCAGTTGTGTGCATGGCACTCTGCTGTCCCTTGTCTTCTATTCCAATTACCCCTAAGAATTTTTCCTTCAATTTCTTTGGCTGAAGTGAAGAAACAAAGGAGGGAAAACACTGTATTGCAACAGCACAGGATTCACAGAATAGGTAAGGTTGGAAGGGACCACAGTGGGTCATGTGGTCCAACCTCCTTGCTCAAGCAGGGTCATCCCAGAGCCCATGGCACAGGATTGTGTTCAGACAGTTAAAGAATATCTCCAGTGAGGGAGACTCCACAACCCCTCCAGCCAACCTGTCCCAGTACACAATCACCCACACAGTAACGTGGTTCTTCCTCGTGTTCAGGTGGAACTTCCTGTGCATCAGTTTCTGTCCCTTGTCCCGTCCGGTTGCTCGGCACCACCGCGAAGAGCCCGGATCCGTCCTCTTGACACCGTACCTTCAGATACTGATAGACATCGATGAGGTCCCCTCTCAGTCGCCTCTTCAGTCACTGCTTTGCAAACTCAGTGATCACAGTAAAGAGGAGAAAGGCCGTTCCCCTTTAACGGGACGTTCCCCAAGGCTGAATCAACCGGCTCGGAGCTGCTTTAGCCCTTGGCCAAAGGGTCGGGCGGCCTGACGCGGCTGCCCCAGGAGCTCACCAGAGCCTCTCGCTAGGCGCACCGGGCCCCGCAGCCGCCCCGCGCCCTTACTGGGGACCCGGCGGCGGCCTCTCCGCGGCCTGTCCCGGTGGTTGCTGGGGGCGGGGCCGGGCTGGTGCCGCTCGAGGCCGCCCCCGGCGCGGTGCGGCGCGCGCTCTCCCGGCGGCGCCGCGGTGTCGGGAGCGCGCGGGGAGCACGCGCTGCGGCTGCCGGATTCAAACGGGCCAATGAGGCGCGCGGGCACGAGCGCGGGCGGGGCCGGCGGCGGCCAATGGGCGCGGCGGACACTGGGAGGTGCGGGCGGTGCTGGCGATTTCAAACCCCGCCGAGCAGCCGCTGGACCGTCGCCGGCCCGACTTGCGGGGCCCAGGTGAGATTCGCCGGCCCTGTCACTGCCACAGGGGAGCTCCGGCCCCTGCCCCGTCCGCTTCCCGGGCCCGCGAGAGGGTGGATAGGCCTCTCTCCGCCGCCGGGCCTGAGCCTCCCCGCCTCTCGCGGGGCTCAGGCGGAGGCGCAGCCCCCGCGGCGCGGACATTCTCCCGCGGGCACGGCTTGGGCCCGCGGGCTGCGCCGGCACCCGCTCGCGGGGCCCGGCGGGGCGAGGGCCGCGGCTGGTGGCGGTGGGAGGCCGCGGCCTGTGCCGCGCCGCAGGGGCGCAGCGGGTGCCGCTCGCTCGGGCCGCCCGCGCTGCGAGGGACGGATGGGGGCCGCGGGCCGCCGCCGCCCTACCTCGTTGTGGCCTGGGAGCTGCCGGGGGTGGGGGCCTGCGGGGGAGGCGACCGGCGCGGTGGGCAGGGGCCGGGGGGGAGCCGAGCGCGGCCGCCTCCCACCGCCCCGCGAGGGAAATGCGGACTGAGCGCCTTCTGGCCCCCGAGGCTGCGTGCGGGATCGGGTCCCCCTCTAAAATGTCGTAAGGAAAACGTTCCCTGGGGTAATTGTAATCTTAAAACGAAGGTCACGAGCTCATCTCTGTTTCTGCAGCTCTGTTGTCGGGTGCAGGTGTTAAGTCTTGAATCGCCAGGGCCCCCAGCCAGGAGGTGCTTCCTGTTGAATCCTCTCTAGTGTTTGCAAAGAGGGACTGGATAGGAATATGGATCCCATGTTTACTTCCCACACCTTTTCCGCATTTCATTTGATTCTATTTCTGAATCAGAGAGAGTCTTGTGATTTTTCCAGAGGCGGTAGTTTTCAGGTTGGTGTACAGAGGATTTTTCTCCTGAATTTAGACCCCCGCGAGAGACACTAAGTTTTGCATGGCAGAGGCTGAGAAATGAAACTTCTGTGCAGCTTAAGCAAACGTGGACTCTTGCAAAAAGAAAATTAAAAAAAATTTGCATGTTCTACAGTTTCCTTATTGATTTGTGTTTGGTGTGTATTATCTATCTAATTATTCTGAAGCTTTTCTTTTTCGCTGTTTTATTTTGTGGTTAGTGTTGCGTTTTCTGTTACTTCTGCTGAACTGCAGTGTTGTTTAAGTTGTGTTCTGCAAGTGAGAAGGGGATAGGTAGTTGTTGGGTAGTTGAGTTACCAGCTGTGGGTGACCTTCCTTATGTATTTTGTGTGTATTGCAGAAAGCATTGCTATAGGCTTTCAGTGAACATATCTATTAGTTTGAAAGTGTATGGCTGTGTATTTCCAAATGCTGTGAGTCTCAAATACTGAAGTACTCTAAAAGGCTACTTACAAAAATCTATTACTAAAACTTTGAGATGGGCTCAACTCAAAAAGAAGAATAGGTGCAAGGTGCCCGTATATAGTTTTGACTTTTTGGTGTCCACTGTCAGATCAGTTGATTGTGAAAAAGGTAGAATTTGTTTTGATTTTCTTGTATCAGGCTCGGCCTTTCTTTAAACTTTGCTGTTTTGGTAGCTTCCCCCCACATTGAACTTATAGATGCACCATCTTTTTTTCTTTTCTCTTACTTCAAGAGTTGTGATAGGGTTAAGCTTTTTAAGCAACATCAAGAGAGCAGTGTCTTAAAGCAGAATCAACAGCAAAGGGCCTTCAGGTACTGCAAACTGGTTCTGAATAAATTGTTGTAGACAATTCTCAAAAATTATCTCAAGACAATTCTCAAAAACACAAAGCTGGGAACATTAAATAGGGGACCTGCTGTAGGGAAAATTATGTGACAACTTGACAAAAAGAAATAAAATTTGAATTTTAGAAATAGGGAAAATTAAGACTTATTCAGACCAGTTTGGATCTGTACCGATGGGGGGCTTCTCCTTTCATATTCTAATACAAAAAAGGGAATGCACGGTGATGGAATGTGATTCCTGATTCTTGTACACATATAACTTGTATTTGGTGGGGCTTAACTTTCACACTGGTTCTTATCCTTTTCCTGGGATGGGTCAGTTACATAAGCTGGGCAACCGCTTCTGAAAACCTGGTCTGCCATGGTGGGGCTGGTACTCTCATACTGGTGTCTGTTAAAATGCGACGGTTCTGTTTCTGTTTAGTCAGTGCAGAAAACCTGAATTTCAGTGTAATGTTGTAAGTTGTTTCACTGTGTGTGTTAGGTAATAAATTTACAGCTGAAAAGCACTTGGCATGTTGTACGCTCCTTCAGTCAATCCTTTTTTCTTTTTTTCTTGCTACCCTGATTAATTGTCATCCAGACATGTAGCACCTCTGTTTACCCCTTTTTAAGGATTAATTATGAATGTTTTGAACAGTATATACAATTTGAATCTGCTCTGAATGTTTTGTGGTATAGAGATAACTATATGTCTATATTACATATCTAATTTGGAGGATTTTGTTGTGTAGGATGTATGATTGGAAGGACACTTGAAAGATGTAAACCTTCTAATTAAGGTTTTCCAAATCATGATCAGTGCTCATCAGGTTCTCCTTTTTCCCCTTCGAATTTCTCATCTGTTCCATCTGCCAGCAGATGGTTTATAAAAGAAACGTATAGACTTGTATTGCTAATTTGTTTGTGAACTATTTAATGTAAATGGTTTGTTAAGTCTCTGCCAGAGTAGGATGGCATTAAAGCCATTTGCATCTGTAGCAGAATGGTTGGTTTCAAGACAAGGTAGTCTAATACTAATACAGTGTTGCTGAGGTTTTGTTGTAAGACTCTTCTAGTGGTTCATGTTATAGGAGTGGCATTCTGAAGTGACATGGGAAAGCCTTGAACCCTCGTTTTTAAACTAAACGCTGCCTCGCAGTAGGCAGTGTTGCTCTAGCTTGTTTGAATAGTCTCTTGTCCTGAGCACGTGTAGGTCTTTGGGGTTGCCTCTTATGACAGCTCGGTTGCTGTGAATGTCAGATGTTGAAAAATAGAAGCTGCTGTGCATGTTTGTGCCTCCCTGTTACAGGGGATAGGTTGAGGTGATAGCAAAAGTAACTTGGACGATTATTCAATGCAGAGCATGGCTAATGCTGGCAGTGCCTGGAAGAGGCTTCTTTCTTCGATTAGCTAAAAAGATGGCTGAAGAAATACAACCTTGCATCGTATGGCTTGATGCTTTTCTGAGTTGGAAGCTAGTGAGACCCAATTTCCACCATACCAGCTTGTTCAGTTGCTATTGTCACTGTAGAAAAGGCATCTCAAAATGTCAGACGATGGGCTGGAGAGATTGCTGATGAATCAGCTCCACCGGAGCACTGTCATTACACATCTCGCAGCAGAACATGAAATGCGGGGATGGTGTGGTGCCAGGCTATTCGTTCATACCTCTTTTGGAAGGCACTGTTTCTCCTTCCTCACGGCAGGCCTTGTTCCTCCTGTCGGGTTTCAGAACCGCTCCCTACTTAAGTTAGAGATTGCTGGATGATTGGTGGCCTGGGATAATGTCTGCTGCATGCCCGGGTATGACCGCAGCTCCCTCTGTTAGAGTAGTAATTGTTCTGACGGGTCTAGGCGTTCGGGGTATGACTCATGAGGACATCAAGCCTGGCGGGCCACGACGGTCACCGGCCGGCAGCCCCGGCCTCACCGCGGGCGGCACCGCAGCTCCCGCTGCCGCCCACCCGGCTCCGCGGCGGCGGGAAGAGGGGTCCAGATGTGCTCGGGGCCGCTGCGGGGCCGGCCGTGCCCTGCCCTGCCCTGCCCTGCCCGCCTTTGTCTGGCCCCGGCGCGGGCCGGCTCCCGCCCAGGTGCGGCCGCGGCGCCCCGAGCCCCGCCCGCGGCGGGGAGGGGCTCGGCCCGGCCCGCCCGCGATCCCCGCCCGCTGCCGCCGGGAGCCGGCTCGGAGCTTGTCAGGGTGAGTGTCCGGCCAGGCCCGACCGAGCCGCGGGCGGTGGGCGGTGGGGCCGAGCCAGGCCCGGCCGTGGGGCGGGGGCGGCGGGCAGAGACAATGCCGGGCGTGCGGGCGGCCTGCTCGCCGTGCCCGGCCGCGGCCTGCGGCCACCCACCCGCGGAACGGGAAACATCCCCAGGCTGCGGGGGCGCGTCTGGGGCTGCGGGCAGAAGTGTAGGGGTTGCTCTGCTGGAAGATGCTGGGGATGGTGTAGACGCCGCTAGTTACGGAGAGAAGCCGTGCTGGAGGAAGCTTGGCTAGGAGAAGGAGGCAGCTCGTGGCTGGTGATGTCTCTGCGGGAGCTTTCCTTCATCAGCAGTTCAGGCCGTCCTTTTAAAGAACATCACATGAGACTTTTCATGCCTGAGCTTTGTAAACACCTTGAGGGATGGGGGAGTTTGCAGCTTATAAGCACGGTCCCACTGACATCTTTCACTCCAACTAGCAATCCTTAGATTTATGTCAGTGCACACAAACTTGTGCGTGTGTTGCCCTTTTGCCCTTCTCTGCTCCATAAGACTGGCTTCACTCCAGGCTTACCTATGCAGTTAGAAATTGCTTTTGCTCTTAGCTGTAACAGAAGGTCAGTTTATTTTACATTGTCTCTCACTTTTAGGTGCATGAAAAGGAACAGCCCTGGTTACTTTCAGTGGCCATGTATTGAGACTTATTTTTCGGGAGAAATAAGTGTTTATTTACATTACCAATAACTTGCCCTTTGTGCTATTAGAATTTCACTGAGTTGAGTTAGGACATATAAGTTAGAACAGGGAAGAAAGAATTTAATGCAGTTTGTTCTTGAATGCCATTTCATTTTTGCTGAAGCAGTAGCTTCTCTCAGCTGTCATCTACTCCACAACCTGCAAAATTCCTTTTTAGCATACGTTTGTCCTTTTTTTTTTTTTTGTTATTCTGAGGTCTTGCTATTCTTTCATCAGGATTCGGTGTATCTTGCAACTTCTAGTTCATCTATCAATTGAAAATACCAGCCTTTAAAAATCTATGAAATTATTGCCTAAGCAGCAAATAATCTTCTGTGGGTTTTGTAATCTTGTTCTTTTGTCTGTCATCAAAAAATATGTGGACTGAACCTGGAACATTTGCAGTCTTACTGAACATTCTTCTGACTCTTTGCTGCTTTTGTAAGTATCAGTAGTTCAGGATTGTTAGTTGAACTTCAGTTTTCCTTTTGATTATATGGAATTTACCAAAACAGTTGCAGTGTTTCACTGACTGATCAGGCTGTCATTCTGAGATGTGTGTGTTCTTCAGGATACTTAGTGTGACCAGGTGTTGTTTAAAATAAAAAACTGTGTTATGATTGCTTGAATTTTCAACCTTTTTTCTGAGCTACTTTATGTTGTATCTAATGGGAAGATTTGGCTGGCAAAATGAAAAAACATGCCGGGCTAAACTTCTCAGAAAGTGAAATTTCATCTTTTCAGAGCCAAAGAGCAAATATGACCCAAAACTGCCATTAAACAAATAAAAATTCTTTCTGCTAGGAAAACTGTGAGCTGCACTGGCAGAGAACTGTCTGCTGAGAACTATAGTTTTATCTGAAATGTGACGTCCATCTATATACTCTCCAAGTATGTGCCCTACTGTATAGGAACATTTCAAACAGATTTTTCCTTTAAAAAGGCCTGTCTTGATTTCTCAGAACTTACTCTTGACTGGTGTTTTTGAGAATCTTTCAAAATATGAAAATATGTGATGATGTTCTTGTGCAGCAGTAATGTTCAATAGGTGAAAGTGAATAGGGAGAAGTAGACAATCAGTATCAATAAACATCTGGTTTTTGTTTAGCATAAAATGGCTTCCTAGTTTGCCATTCTAGATTTTCTCTAGAAAATGATCTGGAAGCTGACACTTCACAGTAAAATATGTTGATAGGTGATGAATGTATGCTTCAAAAGAAAACACACTTCAGAATGTTCATGATGTAAAGATTTTCCTTAGCGGGACCCCATACTATAAGTTGTAAGGTTGATGCTATGCAACCCTCAAAACTGTAGGAAAACTATTTACTTAGAAGTTGAGTAGGAGCTGTTCAGAGTAGTGCGTGGTTAATCCAAACTTTGATGTTTTGACACTTTCCCACAATCTTTTAATGTGTTGACAAATTTGTTTCCCAAACATACTTATATTCAGTTGGTAATTCTCACTTTTACATTTGAAATTCCTGCATTTGTGCTGCCTTGTAAATATTTTCCACTCTTGCTGCTTTTTACATGATCTCCTTTTGAAAGATCCTATTCTTTTCTTCGTGGTCTTCATTTTCTCACTGCTCCATAATATAAAAACTTGCCCTGCCGAGAACTGTCAGGGAGGATTTGTTATTCATCTCCATTGCAGATTCGTTGGCTGACTCGCTTTTGGAAATGTTGTGTTGATGACTTTAATGACAAATGTCGCTCACAAAACTTACTTTGGTGGTTCAGTCACTTCAGAGGTCTTGTTTTCTGGATTCTACCAAAATTAATATTGTCACTGAAAGACTTAAATCTGTTTGTTCCGAGTTGTGGTAATAAGAAAGCTATCTAGGTCAAACACTTCATTGCTGCAAATTCACTAGTAATAACAGAATTTAGCTGCGTTATTGTATAATGAGGCCACTTGCTATTTGGATGTTGAAGTAATGACTTGAGGTTTACATGTCTTTGCAAACAAGCTTTTAAGAAAAAACTTTTTGTCAAATGCGAGATACTCTGTGACCATACAGAACCCAGTGACTTAATTGAAAGGAGAAACAACAGTCTTTTATTCTGGTAAATGCAAGATGTAGACAGTACAAAATCTTGGCATTCAGACAGGCGTGAGCAGTGATGAAGCTAGAAAGACTGGATGTTTAAGAAGGAGCCTTCCCTCTGTGACCGTGGAATACTTTCTGAGAAATTGTCTGTTCTAGAGGGATTTGTAAATTACGGGGGGAGTATAATTTTATCACTATTTTTAGATGTCAGATTCTGAACAGAAAGTAACTTAACCCATTTTGTAATTGAAGTAACCATTGTAGATGTTAACCACTGAAAATAGTAGGGCAACTGAGTTAACCAGACTGAAAGAAAAAATAGGTGAAATGCTGTTTGATGGTCATTCAACTCCCCTTCCTGTGTCTGCCTCATGTATGTTCTCCTCCAAGTTGAGTACATTGTGATGTTGGGAAGGGAAATCCTAGACCCTTTTCTTCTAGATTCTGTAATGTATCACTGGAGTTTACTACCAAGAGGTTGCACTTTGTGGCACTGACCTGTTGTATATATATGTAAGGGTAAAAATAATTGTAAATCAGTATCAGTCTTGCAATGGACAAGCCATTTTAATAGAGTTACTCCTAACTTTAGGGTTTGAACTGATTTGAGGATTGTAGTAAGGTAGTCACTGTCAATAGGATTTTTCCGTGGCAGAACAGATTTCTGAAGAGAAATAAGTGTTTCTTTTTATTTTTGAAGTAGGAAGCTCATGCTTCTGACAGTTTTCTAAAAGAACAGGGAGTAAATGGGAGTCTGCTCCATCTACTGTCTTAGTACAGTTGCCAGTTTTATCCTGGTGTTTCTGTTGCTGGCAGGTGTGTTAGTGGTTTTTTCCTTTTCCTGTTTTCTTTGAGAATAACTATTGCCCTTATTTTGGTTCTTTGTGCGTTCTTCCAACAAAACAAGATAGAGGCAATAGCTTGAATTACCTCCAAGTTTCTGATTAAGATTCAGAATTACCTAACTTCCTATAAAATTCACTCTTCTTTTTCTTGGCGAAGTGTGAGTTTGGGAAGAGACCACTCTTATCTATTTATGTTGTCTGCATCCACACTGAGGAGGTACTCTATTGTTTCTATACTGGTCCATTAAGATGAAGGTAGTCATAATAGAAACACCATTAATGCTGGCAAAGCTGCATCTTATCTGATGGCACTTAGCTGCAGAACTGACTTGAGCAATAGAGGGAATTCTGCTGCTGTAACTGTGTTCACACTGGGGTACTCTTGCATTCTTTCCTAGGTGGGCTGTCTGAAAACCTTTTCATGTGAATGACATCTCATTTTTGCTTTCGGAGATAAATCATCACAATCATAGAGCTAGATCTATTTTAACCCCCACCTCCATAAGTGTCTTGCTTTTGAGTGTGGGATGGCACTTTTTCTTGTTTTGTTTTGGGGTGAGTTTGGTTTTATTAGAGGTTTTTTTTGTTTGTTTTAATAGGTAAAATGCATTGAATTTAAATTAAGAGGCTGCTGATTTATATTTAACTTTGAACCCTCTCAGCAGACTGAAGGAGGGAATAAGAGAATAATTGAGAGGTTTGGGCAGAGAAAATGAAAGCAGTAGAACTTCAAAAGAGTTTAAACAGATGAAAGCAGGATCTATTGCAAAAGGCTGATGGGACTTGTATGCAAAAAGATGTAGTAATTTAGTTGCTCTTTTGACCTCTTGTGATTGTTTGGTTTTGGTATGGCCTTTCAAAGTTCAAGTTTATTCTCATTGTAACTTTTAATTCAGAGACCCTTTTCTTGTCAATTACTGACATGGAAGAATGGTGTGACTAGAATATGACCCTGAGCTTTTTT